GATAGCGGCACATGTATTATAGCTTCTCCTTAACCCGAATTATTCATTTAATTTACTCAACTTTCCAAACAGCGTATGGAATGCGGACGTCATGATCATAACATAACGACAATGTTACATTAATTTTTTCAACTTCAGTAATTTTCGCATCCCATACACCCACATCTTTAATTGTGCTCGACATTCTACAACCAGAAATATCATAGGTAATGAAAACGAGCCGGCAAAAATTATAAAAGCCGTTAAAAGCGATCCCGTAATTGAAACGATTGGTGCTTTGTCCCATTCTTCTTCCTTTTTACGTATAGCGGGCTTCCTATTAAGTAAGCTATTCCGCCACTGTTCGATTTCCAACCTGCTGTAGATTCCCGACTCAAACAGAATTCTATAATGTGTTGGAACCTTCGAAACCCCACTGTTATAAAAATCGAATCCTATAGGTGTGCTATAGATGATCTCGTCCCCTTTATAGAATTGTATCCAATGATAGTGCTTCCGTAGGAAACCCAACTCTATATTCACGGTTTCCAAATCGCTTGTAAAAACCGTTTTGTCGCAAGAGATTATTTCTGTTTCCACAAGTTTCCGAAAACTTTCCTCCTTGAATGCGCTTGAGTTCGTGCCAACTCCAGCAGGATGATGTGAATGAACTGGATTCAGCAAATTGAAGGTCAAGGTCGCCAGTGTGTTTGGAAAGTGGAGAGTCGATGCCTTCTTTACGTTGAGGCCAGGGTATAGAAGCCGCATATGAGTAACAGCAAGAAGATGAAGAAAGTCTGGTACATTGTTTTCAAACCCACTTGGGATTAAATTTGACAATATCTTAAAGCAGTATGCATCTTCGAATTGCCTCTCCAAGGAATATGATACTCCACGGAATCTCCAGGAAGTATAGTAACTCCGCAAATATTCCCTATGCCGGCTGAAATCAAGATTCGTCAAGTTTCCGAAAATCTTCAGAACATGGTCAGGATTTTGGTTATTGCCCATGATTTTTGAACATACTAGGTCCGAAAATGTTTTGGGCTTTCCGCCCTGCAGGGGAGCGTTCAGTTCGGTTGTCATAATTCCGTTGTAACAATTTGTCAATATAACTGACATTAAACACCACAATCCCAAGATCAGCCGAAAAAATTGTTTCCTTTCAATGTCCGCGGGCACATTGTAACCTTCCTCTAAAACAGTTGACAACATGAACAACCATGTCGGAAACTCAGACAGTTTAGCGCAGTGGACATAAATCGTCATGATTAAAATCAATACCAATAGGCATGTTGCAATGGCAAGCCATAATTCTGGTTCAAAAGGTGTAATGTAAAACAAAAAAGATATATACTTCTCAATATAGCATGAGAAATAGGTATAGCCACTAAATTTTCCGATCACTGGAATTTTTTCGTCAGGGTAGAAACTTGAATGGTGATATACCGTTGCTAATCGTTCGCCAGGGGAAAACGTTTCTGGATATACAGTTACGTTTAATCTACTAAATATTACAAATGCCAACTGTTCGAAAAATGCATATTTGGGATTACTTGCAAATGGATTTTGCGGGGATTTTGGAAGATACAACGTTATCATTCCGGAATGTACGAGATACCAATGTTTTGGGGGTGCTGCTACCTGGTAAAAAATTGAAACACTGTTTCTCACGCTTTCTGTGCAAATTATTGCACCAATCCGGTATAGACCATAAGGATAACAGCAGAATTTTAGCAAATTAGAATCTTCGAAATAAGCTATCGCAATATAATTCGCTTTCTCTAACGTTTTACTGTTAGCCTCTGAGTTTCGTTCAGCTGATGGTAGGAAAGTTTTTGGATTAAACAAATCGGGTCCAGTAATTTGCTTAACTTTATTCGAAACGAGGATTATAAATACGCTCTCAAGACGAGTCCATTGCTTCGCAAGTGATTCTGTTGATTCCAAATAATATTCTGAAAAGTAGACAGTTTTATCGAGAGTCACAGACTTCCCTTCCTGTTTATAACCCCTCCTCCCAATGTAGTAGGGAAATGAAAATACTAAGCTGATTTTGCAAACTGCAACATGCGCTTTGTAAATGTTCAGCCCTGGAAATTTTGACCGGGACAGGATTGTTGTTGGCAATAAAAGATTTGTATTCGTTTGACAGTAATAGAAGTTTGGGTCGTAATCAGATCCACTGTCTACAAATTGCAAATCGCATTTACTCGGAACCTCAACAACGTTGTTTAGGAAACAATTTGGCCTCACGATGGTATTGCACTGGATTATTTGAATATATACAAAAATGTAGGCGAAGGGTAACCAAAAGTTTTGAAAATTTGACATCTTGAACAAAATTATGTATACTGTTGTGGGCAAGAGTGAAGAGCTAAATATGTATGTACGTTTTGTCATTGCACTACTATGTATGCCTATGATCAAGTAAAGTAGACATACTTATTTTTTTTTAATGTAAAGAAATTGATAACTTATATAAAGTATTTAATAAGAATGAAAGCTTTCCTATCTAAAATTGTACAAATTATTCATGATCACCTAAACCCCAGTTGAGTAATTGTTAAAAATTCGGATTAAGTTTTGTTTGCAACGAAGATACTAATACCTGTTCAAAAAAAATATTTTCATTCAAAAGTAAGTCATCCCGCTTTCTGACTGAAGATTTTCATTCAAATTCAGTCATTTCATTTCAAACTCATTTCATTTCACTTCATCTGACTTCATTCTTAATTCGCATCATGTATTAAGCATAGGGTGAAAAATGAAAGGAGTGAAAATTCATTCGTCTGAAATGATGGAATCTTTGAGTCATTTTCATTCAAATGACAGGACTGTCATTTTCATTCACTATCATTGCCTAAGATAATCAGTCAAATGAATGAAAGTGAACAGGTATGAATGCATGTATATGGATGTCAGCAACTAAACTCATAAGGAATAATATAAAATTAATCACAGCTAAAGGTTTCCTTAGCACGCCATTTAATAAATTAGGGTAAAAGCTTGGCAAACTTTTTAGCTCAAGGTTCATTTAATATTTATAGCTTGGAATTTTTTATGTTCACATTATACGATGATTATTTTACGGAAAGTACTCCGGACACAAGATCAAAAAACTGACATACATATTTAACTATGATACTTACAATTCGAAGACATTGCATTCAGCTTCATGTGGGACTAATTTTATCTTAAATGGAGAATTTTAAAGAGCATACCAGATTTTTCTTTTAAATGCAACCTTGATGCCCGTGAGCCTTGGTTGTAGGCGGAGAGAAAAGGGATGCGATTAACGACCCCCCTATCATTAAGGGGTTTGCCCCCTACTTTGTGGAAATGAGACCCCATTAATATTTGCCCCCCGTAATTATTTTTTTACTATTATTTTTTATCATTATTATTTTTTTATCAAGCGAATCCCCCTAATAAAATAACTCGCCACATAATTAAAATCAATTATAATTACAAATATTTAGATCAGATTTGTTACAGACAGACAACCAACATGATTTAAATATTAATCAATAATCAAAGCTTTGCAACAAGCTTTGAGTGGACGCCTTGGTTTTCCACTTTCACCTAGTGGTATTGTTTTTGCTTCAGGGCGGACATTGTAAAATTTATTATTTATGGCCAATCCAAGGATTGGAAGGGCGACGAGGCGGAGTGGCTAAAGTGCCTTCCTGCTTACCGTCCGCCCGGGTGGGCCGAATGGAGGTATTGGGTTCAATTCCCAGTGCCGGCAGTGGGTTTTTCTCGTTTTTTCCCACTGCCAAGCTCAGGTACTCTTCTCCCTCCCTGGGTAATGGCCCATTCGTGGGGTCCAGTGGTTGTAATTAGTCGTTTTTTTATTAACATGAAGAGGAAATCCCTCCCAATTAAGCTTATATATGGCGTCCGCGTGGAGGTGCACAAAAGAAGTTGTAGAAGCCGAGGGATCGATATAAGAAGTCCTAACCACTTTGAATGGTGGTCAAATTCTCGTCCCGTTCTAGTCTGCATAGATTATGTAGAGAATCGAGAGATATAAGGCAGCAAATTTAATATAAATTTGAAACATGCATGTTTTTCTTGTGTACTGACCTTTAACTACTGTTAAATATATGTACGGTACTTGATTTTAATTATGTGGTGAGTTATTTTATAAGAGGGATTCGCTTGATATATAGGGGGTGAAAAAAGAATTACGTGGGGCAAATATCAATGGGGGTACATTTTCACAAAATAGGGGGCAAAATCAATGATGTTTGGGGGGTCGTTAATTTAATCCCGAGAGAAAAGCAGTCAGGAATATTCTTCGAAAAGGACTTGACTTGATTATCAACACCCTCTGCTAAATAAATGTATATATACATCGTCGCTCACACTTTTGTCACCAAATCGATCCTCTCATCAAAGGAATCGTGCATGAATCACGGGATTTCATTTCAAATTTTAAACCTTCAAATTATCTCAATTTGAATATTACTGTGTTTTATGTATGTGTCCTGTATTTCCTCAACACTATAAATTATACTTACCTGAATTTTGTTTTTCATTATCTATTATTTACGGTTTTTATCACCCTTAATTTAACTAAGGGTGGTATAATAATGCAGATGATAATTAAGTTAATTATCATCTGCAGTATTTTACAGCACTAAAAATACTGATTGGACAAACTTTTCCTGGAAAACATGGGTAGTTTTGAGATTAAAATTTTTCAGAAGTCGTTAACATAATTAAGACTAATGAGGAGGACTATTTATACACAAATGGATTTCAAGGGTTTCGATTTGGATAGGAAAATGTCTAAAAGTCTTCAAAATGTTATGTTTTACCCATTAAAACTCATTAAAACCCAATAAAACCAAACCCATTATAACCAAGGTCGGAATACCCTGTTTGTACATTGCCCGGTTTAACTTGGGTTTTGTCTAAACGACACCCTGCACATTTGTTCACAAATATTTACTAATTACTGACAAAAGCTATATTTAAAATATTACAAACTGATTCGAATAAATGCTCGAGCAGAGCGGACACTTGCTATCAGTCTTCCAATCAACTTCGAGAAGTTTCGCATTTCGAGAAATATTTCATAATGGGGCACATTTCCAACAAATTTGTAATAGTGGGTGTAAAATTAAAATTTTAGACTTTTGCTATAAAACAGAAAGTAATGAATTTGAGATAAGTCTATACAAACCCTTTCAGAGTCTTGCTATAATCATGGCGATCCTGACAACTGTATACTCCGGAGGATCAGGCCATGGGCACACTCAACGTCTAAAGGATGCCGCCATTGGGACAAACAGCACATCGCCGGTGAGCTTAAGGGGGTGGTAGGCGTAGATTTCCGCGGCATCTCGTTTCGCCCCATATGTCATGTTTCCTTATGAGGAATTTAAAATCGAATCATCTCCGTCATTTTTCAACGAAATTGAAGTTTTGAAACTCCAAAATACTCTATATTTTCAGCTTTACAAAGTTAGGTAATTAGATTTTCTACAAGAAGATTCCTTTACTCGGAAAAGTTCGGTCGTTTACAGTAGGATTTTTTAAATAATAAAGTTATCTAATTAGATAACTTTGTAAAGTTGAGAAGATAGAGTATTTTAAAGTTTTAAAATTTCAATTTCGTTGAAAAATGGCGGAGATGATTCGACTTTAAGCTTCCCATAAGGAAACATGACATATGAGGTAAAATAAGATGGCGCGAAACCGTGACGAAGTAGAGATTTAAGAAATTTGCAACTTTTAACTTAAATACGTAACTAAATTAAATTAGATTCTGCAAAGTTCGAAAGCATATGTTTTAAAGTTCTGGTACACAGACATAATTTGCAAAATATTTTGCTAACTAAACACAGTACAAATTCGTATATTGTTTCTAAACTTAATTCTAAGACAAAAAAATTACGCACACTGGTTCTGGTAACAAATTTGAATTCCATAGAATTATTGGTACCATTCTGTGTCAATTTTAATCATTGTGACTCAGTCAGGACACCGAAAGCCAATTTTAAAAATTAAACAATTTTAATTACAAAATTATAAAGTGTTAGGCGAAAGTTATCCACCAATATTTTTTTTACAGAAAGAGTGCATTCCTCTGGGCCGAATTTGCAGCTGTGCAAGCGCCACATGGAGTCCGTACGGAGAATGTTGTGGGGGGAATAAATGTGTAATTCATTCCGGTCTGGCGTGCCTCTGCGTTGTTCCAATTAATTAAACTTGAAATATTTTAGTAATGATACTCTGATGTTTATTATTGGTTAATTGTTTTCCGACCTACATGCATATTTGCGCATGGTGTTATTTTTGTCACATGATACATAAATGTCAGTGTTTTGAACAAATTGTTAGTGAATTAAATCAAGTTACTACATTTTAATAAAATAAAGCTTTATTTCCTAAAAAAAACTTTTTTTAAGCGAAATTTTGAAATTTTGATTTTTCGAAGACATACCTTCAGTCAGAAAATTATTGAAAATATTCAAAAAATTAAAAAAGTTGAGTTTGATATTGGATACAATAAATGAACTATCTGGGATCATGAATATGCTAATTCTTTAAAAATCCCAGCTAAATTGGATTTTTGGTGAATTTTTGAATCGACAAAAACAGGGTGGTTTTAATGTTTCTTGCACCTTTGAGTGGGTGTGGCGGGCGCAAATGGGGCCATGGAATGAAATCCTTCCACGCTTTTGCTAAACTCGCCTAGTACTTCAACATAACCAAAGGGCATCGAAATCGGTGATTCATGAGACTTTTCCCATATGAGTTGACAAATTGCCACCCATGAATACCAAACCAACTTTCCTATGGACGCCAATGGAATTGTTTGAGGTGAACAGTTTCCCATGGGATCCCACCTATTATTTTTGGTGGCTGAAGTTTACAAAGCGCAAGCCATGTATATGGATACATACCACACTGGTACGGAATGATGATTTCCTTGGCCAAAACCTCTACTCTCCGATTCGAAAACAAACTACCCTCCTTAGTACCTTTGATATAGAGGAACAATTATGGAAAGTTTCATTTAATTTGTTCAATTGGTTATGGAGAGGCGTATGGTCAAACTTGCCTAACAACATTGGGCTAAATAGGAAAAACTTTAAGTTGAAAATCCTGTCTAGTCCTGTGGTATTTCGGGGAACCGAACATGCATTATTAATCCCACATATCTCATCTAGAAAAACTGCTGCCACCAGCTGCCCGAATTATATACAGACAAAGAAATTTAAATGTAACCAAAGGCAAATTGGCATAAGCAAAATATTTGCAGTCTCGCAATCATGGACTGGTAGGGAATTATTCAGTGTTCCAACCAACACAATTATTTCGGAATATCTAACTCATTGTCTGAGGAAGGGAAAACTGTAAAATGCACCTCTCTAAAAAATTTATTACGAAGGGGGAAGTCCCATGAAGCTGCGGCCCCATTTGGAGGCACGACAAATTATTGATTTTTGTCCCATTTTCTGTGTTAATGAGGTCAGAGGGAAGAAATACTTCACAAAACAACAGAATATTGTCATTTGATGAAAATATATGCTCGGATTTGTCGAAACAAAAATTCCAAATTTGCAAGTTGATCAAACCCCCAGACGGTGGGTGTGCCATGACTATACTGATATTATCCGGAATTGTATAGACATTGATGAGAGCTTTAAAATGACACCCCACTTGATGGGTTAACGCGATAAAACAATTAGTTACCTTTGACCACACCCCCCGAAGGGCGTGGGTTTGAGTGAAAATTGCATAGCTTAGACCCCTTAGACCCTCATGCATTAATTGCCTGAAGCAGAATTCGAAAAAATTGAGTTGTTCGAGAGTTATAGGTTTTGGCAAGTAAATCAGGTAATCCGGAACAGTGTGCATACGTTTAAATACTGGATCATGTAATTGGATAATGTCGCAAAAATAAGAATTTCCCCGTAGTATAAACTCAGTGTCTATTTATTCGTCCTAATGATTGTGAAATTGAGTAATTTATGTAGTAACATTAACTCGACTTTATAAATTTCATTGTTAATTTTTTCTAGATCCAATTTAAATTGAGAAGTTATGATATCTATTTGGATTGATTTTAGCACAAAAATATCAGTCTTGGCATTTGTTCAAATAATAAATTCAATATGGATTTATTCACCATACCTGTAGGCAATATAATTGTGTAAACCTTGTGCTTTTTTTATTAAATCAGATTTAAACTGTAACGCCCCTTGTCCTTATCTGGGGTTGCGTGTCCCTAATTCACACCCACTTTTGTGGATGTCCCTTAGTTTGTGAGTTTTATGCAATAAACTTTGTAGAACTTGTTCATTTTTAAGGAAAATTATAAATATTTTATTTACATCAATACCGACTGAATAAATATTGATTTACCAAAATCCTTATATTAATAAATAAGTGGGCGAGCTTAAACTAATATTTATATTTCCTAAATTTAAGTTACTGGGAACTTATTCTACTTTATAAGAAAACTAATACCTAGAGATAACCTTGATGGTTGCTAACTTTCCTCTTCTCTATCTCAAACCCGACTCCTCACCAGTCTCAGCCTGGTGCCTTTACATTGGGCTTATTGTGGCTATTCATCTTATACCGTAGCATTGGAGTTGTGGTAATGAGGCTATCCTTCCCATTGCCACAACTCTGAGTTGTTGCAATGGGAGTTGTGGGAATGAGAGTTGTGGCAATGGGCTTTACCACTGTATATTCTAGCATTGGATTTACCACCTTAATTAATAGTTAATTATATCCCAACCCTACTAATTGTTATCATTAAAACTAATTGATTTATAAGCCTAGATAAGCTATAAATATATATCAATAAGTCTCTAAATTGAATATGCTTCTCTATTAGAAATATTATATATGAAACATTATAAACCTGCTTTAAATTCCTTAACCTTTGAAACTCTGATGTATGGACATCAGGGTTACAAAGGTTGCAAAACATTAATTTCTTTACTCAAAATTGAAAACGCATTTTGAAACCGAGACTTTAGCTACATATGTATGTTTAATTAATATAGTTAGAATCATTAATAAAGGTATGCAACACTGAATCGCATTGGAAATACATTAGAAATAGCACACAAATTTAGACCTTGTATTTTAGAAAAAATTATGTTTAAATTTTAATCATCCGTTTTTTCAGGCATTTGTGCACAATCATGTCCGATATCATGTCCGCGCGCCTATTGTAACAGATAAGGCAGATGTTATCGTATAATTTAAAATAATTCCAAAATACGTTGCCTTGGTTGAGCTTTTACAAAAATAAAAATTATAATTCACCGTTCCTGCATAAATTCTCGGAGTTCGTAACGATTGTAACTTTCTTTTCAAATATTTCTTGTCCTCGATCAAACCTAGAATGTTTCTCCACTTGGCCTGCAGGGATTTAGAATTTTTAAACACGTCAATCAACATGGGTAACATAACGTCAATAATGACCAAAATGAAGGCAGCAACCGCCGGGATAAGTGGAAAGAGTGTCATCGGAATTCTTGAGTATAATTTGAGCGATGCAAAATTAAAAAGCACGCTTAAAACTAGGCCAAAAAACATGGTGCCTGAAACAGCTGGTGAAACAAAATTGTGTCCAATGCCTAGATGAATTAAACAAATTTCGTAGTTTCGCAAGTAGCTGGACAAAATCATGTTCTCCCTGCGAAAAAAATACACTGCACTACTATCCATTGCCGACACGCACGCTAAGCCTAGATACGTCGCCATCGTTGGAACGCAAATTAGCAGGCTGATCGTTCTCGCCGCTTGAAGAAACAGTAGACATTGCGTATAGCGAAGAAAGAAGAATAGAAATTTTATTGGAATTGAAAGTATGAATCCATTTTCTTCCAGTAGATATTCAGCTTGGCTGTATGGATCCAATTGAAGTAATAAACACCCGATGAAGTAATAAAATATGGCAAACAAGCCAGCAAGTGGTGAGACCAAATTTAATATTAGTCCAATCACGTCTCTCATGTTGCTCTTCTGTAGTTGTGAAGCTTTATCTAGAATGTATTAGAGAAATTATATAAGGTTCGCCTGAAAAATATTTTGAAAACTTGGAACATGGAAATAAAATTAGTTTAGGGTATTTTAAAAAATATTTGAACGATTAAAAATTAAGTCTTCAAAATAATAATTTGGTTAGCAGATTCAACTTACTCAGTTTCTTTTCCAGTACTGCAAATTTATTTAATATTGCTGCTGTGCTGTCCCCGTATAAATAAAATATTCCCTCGAGATAGATAACAAATGCAAATAACGCGAACACCATAAAAAGAACTAAAAGGTTTGTAAGAGGGATGTGAATAAATCCAAAAAGTTGAAACAAAAGTAATAGGATGGATAAAATGTTGATAGAAACCAGATACCAGATAACTACCATCAACCAGGGTATTAGTTTTGTCGAGGGAGGGTTGACAATTAATTTTTTACTTGTAACGTCCCATTCTAAAGGATTCTTCCATATTAATTCGTACGTATTGGTTAAAAGATCCATCGACTTCCACATTAGCGGAGTGACAACCATGTTCGATGTTTAGCTAACAACCAGGTTTTCTCTTTAAAATTTTATTTAATTATTTTTGTTGTGTATATGTGCTTACTGATGCGCACCAGTTTGCATAATTCTTATTAACTTAACGACTTTTGAGTATCATAAATGCAAAATCGGCTTTGTCTTAATTTGCACATGTAGGACAACTTAACGCTAAGAATTCAGGTGACTTAATGTTTTACGTAAGATACTACCCAGGTAAATATATTGGATTGCAGATATTATTTTCGAAATTATTTGAGCAAACTGTTATGCTGTTGATGTTATATTCTGCATGAACCGACTGGTTAAGTTGTCGAACCATTTGAAGGACATATTTCAGTAAAACTATTGATTTCAATTTCATGCCAACTCATACCAACTGTTGAATAATTTATAGTCGTCAAACCACTAACTGTCCATGGAATCAGAAATCCAGACGGACATATGTATGTAAGAATGCTTCCTTTTATGTCTCTATTTTGGTTGGGCTAGACAATTTAGCAACTCATAATTTATAAATTCAAGTATTGACTTGCAATTTCCTAGCTAGAGTTTAAATTTGCAATGGTTAAATATGCTCATATTTCTAAAAATATTTGATTATCGTAAAAA